CCAGCCCCAGCCAGCCCCCCCCCCGTCAAGCCCCGCCAGGCTAGGGGCGCAGTTTCAGGTCCCCTGGTCCGGCGCCGGGTATGAGGCACAGCCTCAGGGCCCCCGTCAAGCCCCACTGGGTGGGGGGCACAGCCTCAGGGCCCCCAGCACACCCTCAGGTCCCCTGGCCTGGTGCTGGGGCGGGGGTGCGGCCTGAGGTCCCCTGTCAAGCCCTGCCGGGTGGGGGGCACGGCCTGAGGTTACGTGGCTTGTGATTAAAATTTTTTAAAAAATGACTTATTTCTTGAACTTATTGAGGTGACATTGGTTAATAAAATTATGTAGGCCATTTCGCTTGTTCAAAGCTGTCAAAGCTTTACTTTCTGCTGCCTTTAACAACCAAATTTCTGTTGTCAGCAGACACTGCAGAACCAACTTACCCAAATTTACCAAGAAAGGTAATTTAGAGATGTAAATAGGAAGGGAAAGCATTCCAAGTTGCCTAACAAGATACCCAACTCCCTGAAGGGCTATGGAACATACTTTTCATCAAATCTATACTCGAGCCATGCATGACTAAGAGGAACTAACCTAGGGATTCATCTGTACTGAACTTGAAAGGCTCAAGGAAAAAAACGCCACTTTATTTACTGGTGGTGGTAGCATCATCAATCAAACAGGGAACAATCTGGCATGCAAACAAATACAATGTTATAAGGCCATTGATAAAAAATTAATATATACAGATTATGAAAACTATATTTCAAGGTATAAATATTCAACTCACTTTTGACACTTCTAGTTTACAGCAAAAAGTGTTGATTAGATGCCCTTAGTAATTTTTCGAACAGCTTGAGGTATAAATTGATGTGTAATAACTTACACATATGTTACCCCAAAATGGATACATTCTTATATAGCTCAGTATTTGCTAACAACAAAATGGCTTTATATAATGAAAGTTTATTTGGTAGTCACCTCCCCAAGTCATTAATTCTTATGTTAATATTTTCACCTGCTGGGAGTATAATTTATTTCACAGGATTCAATAAAGATAATGAATTTCTGTTGCTATTTTAAAGAAATTGTCAAAAATGGGAAAGGGAAACTTCTGTATTTAGATAGGAAAACAAGCCAACCTTTTCCCTCCTTCTTAGGAAAGTTTATTTGGTAGTCACCTCCCCAAGTCATTAATTCTTATGTTAATATTTTCACCTGCTGGGAGTATAATTTATTTCACAGGATTCAATAAAGATAATGAATTTCTGTTGCTATTTTAAAGAAATTGTCAAAAATGGGAAAGGGAAACTTCTGTATTTAGATAGGAAAACAAGCCAACCTTTTCCCTCCTTCTTAGTCTATAACTTTGGAATTCAAAAACAGTTAACTTCTATTTCTCACACAAACACACACACACACACACACACACACACACACACACACCACAGCATGTACACCCATTGTTGAACTCCCCACAACCCTCCCCCAAGCCTACTAGGCATGGCTGGCTTTTGTTTTCCTACCTTTCCCCATTCACCTGATCTCTTCCACTAATTACTGCCTGCCCATTCTTTGTAAAGCAATCAAACCAGTCTCAATACAATTCTGCACCTGACCTATTGCCCTAGTTCTCCAGGAAACAATCTAGATTAGATTAAATTGCTCTTAATGTTCAAAGGTCTAGAAGAGCCTGTAATGCTTATTTATTAATTTATCTGACCTTGGACACATAATAAAACATATAACTCTATAACCCCTTATATGTAATTGCAAAATCTAAATAGCTTTAGAAAGAAAGATTTCTTCTAGTTTATTTGTCAAGCAAAACCTGACC